TCTGTGCATTGCCACTAACATCCATGGATTTACATTGCCATAGAGAATCAGGCCTATCCGCACCCGTTTTCCCTCGCCGACAGTACGTTAGTAATTCCTGCGACTCTCATCTCCGAACACTGACAATCTCTTTTCACCCTTTCCCCGGCTTGTTTACTTTTCGCTCTTGAAAGTGGATTAGTCAGTTTATTTTCAGTCACTCGGTGGCCTGTACACAGAAAATTAGACCTGAGAAGAGCCCTGCATTGAATCAAAGGCCTGTCACAGTAGCCCCGAGATGGTATATGCTGGGGAAAGGAGAGTCTGGAAAGGAAATCAGATCTCTGGCCCGCATTGGGCGTAATCCTAGGCTTTTAATGCTGAGTGACATCTGGACTGTCTGTGATCCTTCAGGGCCTGGAGTAGAGGACCCTTCCTGGTCTGCTTTGGCTCCCAGCCTGCTGTTGAGAAGGCCATGCCCAGGGCCCCCGGTAGATGGCCACAGCTGCTGCAGACAGACCTAGAAAGTGAGGCAGGCATGACGATGACATGGCCATCCCCTAAGGAGCTTGGTAGAAGAGAGGTTCCGGTGCGGAAGCGAGAGCCAGTGGAGGTGTCGGCATGCTCTCTAGCTCTCCTACGCCGACAGAGAACTAGAGCAGGTGTGGCCAACCTGAGCCTGAGAGAGCCACCGGTTACCGATGTACACTGCCAAAGAGCTCAGTAATTTGTCAGCAGTCCCCATCAGGTGCCTCCTCTACCACCTCCAGCATCTTTTGCCCTGCAGCAGCCCCACCGATCAGTGCCGCCTCTTCCTTCCCCGCGCCTCCTGCCCATGGCAATCAGCTGTTTCATGGCCCTCAGGAGGCTCATTGGGGGAGGGAAGGAGCGAGGGCGCAATACGCTTGGAGGGGGAGGTGGGCTGGAGTTGAGCACTGGAAAGTTGCTACCTGTAGCTGTAGCCCTGGAGTCGGTGCCTGAGCAAGGAGCTGCATATTAACCTCAGAAGAGCATAGGTTGGCCACCCCTGCACTAGAGCGCGGACCAGTTATTTGACTCTTAGCCCGGCTGAAGAATTTGATGAGCATGGTACTCCAGGCCTCTCCGAAGGCCATGGGGAGCTAGGGGTGTGACGCTAGCCCTTCTGCCACCTGGCTTGGGGCAGAGCGCTAGCTGGCCGGTCTACAGGACACACTTGCAGGCCAAGCTCTGTCGGACGTGGAAGAGGTGTGATCCCAGCGTGACACAGCTGTCCTGGCAGAAGTCCCTAATGTGCACGAGGCTATGCTGGCAAACTTGCACTCTTCTCAGTCAGATTTATTTTCTCGGGGGGCCGTGCTCCACTGTATCCGCACTAGGAGGGCTTTGCCGATGTAGTGCACCGGTACAGATACCTGTAGGTGGATGTTGCTGGGCGCAGTGTGGGTGGAGATAAAGTGCTGGACCACGAGCTTCTCAGTGCTCTGTTGATCAGGACCCCAAGTTAGCTCAAGTAGGAGCTTGACGTTCAAGGTGTGTCCCTGCTTTGCTGGATCAGGACATGCGATGTTACCGGCCTGTGTGGCTTGGGGATGCCGTTCCTTTCCAGGGTGGTGCTATCACAACTGCGTATGTGTAGAAGAATGGCAGGAGGGAAGTGCTAATGGCCACTTGGCTGTGTGTGAGAGGTTCAGCTGCTTCCCCCGTGCTACACTCAGGTGCCTTTTGTCCATTTCTGTCTGTCTAGGCGCAAGCATGCAGATGGCATAATACCAAAGAGTATGCAATAATCCAGGGCCCTACGTCAGTGCTGTTGCTGGATGGGGAATATTTGCCAATTTCGGACAGCTAGAGGGTGGAAAAATGGCCACTTGGCTGTGTGTGAGAGGTTCAGCTGCTTCCCCCGTGCTACACTCAGGTGCCTTTTGTCCATTTCTGTCTGTCTAGGCGCAAGCATGCAGATGGCATAATACCAAAGAGTATGCAATAATCCAGGGCCCTACGTCAGTGCTGTTGCTGGATGGGGAATATTTGCCAATTTCGGACAGCTAGAGGGTGGAAAATTGTATGGTATCTGAAGACGGCCCCTGAGACAGGTTAAACACTACAGCAGCCCGGCATTTAATTTCTGTAGCATTTAATTTCTGTAAGGGGGACTACATAAAAATGAGGTGGTTAGTTAAGCAGCAATTAGAAGGCACAGTGCTGAAAGTGCAGTGGCTGCAAGCTGCATGGAAACTTTTTAAAGACGCTATGACAGAAGCTCAACTTAAATGTATATTCCGAATTAAAAAACATGTTCAGAGAACCAAAAAAGCGCCACCATGGCTAAACAAAGTAAAAGAAGCAGAGAGACACAAAAAGGCATATTGCAAAAAGTGGAAGTTAAATCCTAGTGAGGAAAATAGAAACTCTGGCAATGGAAGAGTATAAATATAAGTAGGAAGGCCAAGAAAGAATGTGAAGAACAGCTAGCTAAAAATGCAATGATAGCAATTGATACATCAAAAGCGGAAGCCTGCTAAACCACCATTAGGGCCATTGGACAATGGAGATGCTAAAAAAGCCATTGCGGAGAAACTAAATTCATTCTTTGCATCTGTCTTCACAGCTGAGGATGTGAGGGAGATTCCCAAACCTGAGCCATTCTTTTTAGGTGACAAATCTGAAGGACTGTCCCAGAATGAGGTGTCCTTAAAGGAAATTTTGGAACAAACTGAAAAACTAAACAGTAATAAGTCACAGGACCAGATGGCATTCACCCAAGAGTTCTGAAGGAACTCAAATGTGAAATTGTAGAACTACTAACTGTGGTTTGTTAACCTGTCCTCTAGATCAGCTTATGTTCCAGATGACTGGAGAATAGCTAATGTGCCGCCAATTTTTAAAAAGAGCGCTAGAGGTGATCCTGGAAATTATAGGCCAGTAAGTCTAATGGTAGTACCAGGCAAAGTGGCTGAAACTATAGTAGAGAACAGAATTGTCAGACACGTAGATGAAAATAATTTGTTGGGGAAGAGTCAACATGATTTCTGTAAAGGGAAATCATGTCTCAACAGTCTTGTAGAATTCTTTGAGGGGGTGAACAAGCAAGCGGACAAGGGAAATCCAGTGGATATGGTGTACTTAGATTTTCAGAAAGCTTTTTGACAAGCTCCCTCCACAAAGCCTCTTGAGTAAACTGTCATAGGATAAGAGAAAAGGTTCTCTCATGGATTGGTAACTGGTTAAAAGATAGGAAACAAAGGATAGGAATAAATGGTCAGTTTTCAGACTGGAGATGGGTGACTAGTGGTGTCCCCCAGGGGTTTGTACTGGGACCAGTCTTATTCAGTGTATTTATAAATGAACTAGAGAAAGGGGTAATCAGTGAGGTGGCAAAATTTGCAGATGGGGCAAAATTGCTCAACGTAAGTCCATAGCAGGCTGCCAGAGCTTCAAAAGGAGCTCACAGAACTGGATGAGTGGGCAACAAAATGGCAGATGAAATTCAGTGTTGATCAACACAAAGTAATGCACATTGGAAAACATCATCCCTACAATACGTATAAAATGATTGGGTCTAAATTAGCTGTTACCACCCGAGAGAGAGATGTTGGCATTATTGTGGATAGTTGTCTGAAAACATCCACTCAGTGTGCAGTGGCAAACCATTTTGGGAATAATGTAAAGGATATAGTAAGATAGAAAATATCATATTGCCTTTCTATAAATCAATGAGATGTCTGCATCTTGAATACTGCATGCAGGTGTGGTTACCTCATCTCAAAAACGATATATTGGAACAGCTACCATATGAGAAGAGATTAATAAAACTGGGACTTTTTAGCTTGGGAAAGAGAAAAGTAATAAGGAATATGATAGAGGTCTGTAAAATCATCATTGGTGTGGGGAATGTAAAAAGAAAGTGCTATTTACTCCTTCCCAAAACACAAGAACTAGAAGTCACCACATGAAATGAATAGGCAGCAGGTTTAAAACAAACAAAGGAACATTTCTTCACACAACACACAGTCAACCTGTGGAACTGCCTGCTAGAGGATGTTGTGAAAGCCAGGACTTTAAAAGAATTAAAAAAGAGCTAGATAGATTCATGGAGGTTAGGTCCATCAATGACTATTAGCAAGGTTGGGCAGGAATGGTGTCTCTAGCCTCTGTCAGGGCTGGGAATGGACAACAAAGGGATGGATCACTAGATGATTCCCTGTTCTGTTCATTCCCTCGGGGCAGTCTGGCCGTTCTTACGTTCTAAGACCAAAATGACCTTCAGTCCAGTTAGACCGGAGAGGGCTTAGGCTTTATAATGCGCAAATCTGGCCTTCGGCTGTCAGTCTTACCACTTCAGAAACCATGGTCTGTTTGTAGTAGTTAGAAATGATCAGAGCTGTATTTCCAGCTGGCATTTCCCCGATCACTGTGGGGGTCTTTCTCCATTGGTCAGAAGATAATTGTTTAGCATACACTTTGTAGAGGGCTTTGCATCAATAGCAGTTTTCTAACAATGTTGGATTATAGCAATATATTAAAATCATCTCAGACAGGGACGTATTGTATAGACAAGGAAACTGAGTGATAGTGAAGCGACTTGCTACTGAATGAATAGTATAGCAGGATCTGGGAATCCCAACAACAGAGCAAAAATGCCGAAAGTGTTGTCCACAGAATGCTGGCTACTCACACGATACAAGGTCTTCTGTTCCCGACTGGAACACTCGATGACAAGATTGCATCAAATACTTTCCTCGTGTTACTTTTCCTTTTCAGGAGCTGCCTTCGTCTCTAGAGAGAGCATGTGATCATGGTTGGGAGAGGAGAAGGTCCTCAGAATCTTGAGCCCAAAGTGGGGTGGTGCTCAAGATACTGCTCCTTAATGTGGGCTGCCCTATGGGAAAAGTTGAAACGCCCCTACCCCAGAGCACGCTTTCTCTATGTGACCGGGGTGGTACTCAAGATACTGTTGCTTATGGAAAAGTTGGACCCCAGAGCACGCTTTCTCTATGTGACAGGCATGCATAACCATTCGTTTCTGTCTTTCCCCCTAGCATTGGAGTGGATGGATTTGGTCACCCAGCGGGTACCCCAGGCCGCCCTGCGACTGCGTATGGATACCGTCCTGATGAACCTTTCTACTACGGCTTTGGTTCCCGATAAAACATCCCTCTGCGTCCTCTAGGGTGCTGTCTTCCTGCTCTGTTAGAAACCAGTTGTATGTAGCTGACTTGAGAGCACTCCCTGGTAATGCATGATTATACTGGAATGGATCTGTGAGAGCTATCGTTTGGTATGTGTAGCTGTAGATAAACCTAACCCTTTCTGGGTCTAGCATTTCAGAAGTGACTGTGTTCGCCCCTTGGTTTCTCTTTATTATAATTTATGTACAGTGTTTGCCATGTGACTTGAAAGCAAGCATTGAAAAGCTACTAGACTGGAAAGTAAACATTGCATTATGTATATTAAGCAAGTAATTTAATTTCTATTAAAAAGGAAAACCATGCAGTCAGTGCTGAGGGGTGGCTGAGCTCCTTTCTCTCTGCTTCGTGCAGGGGCTTTGGAAATGCCTCTTGGGGAGCATTTTCAGGGGTGTTTGAATACTTGAGTAAGCGGCTCCCTGGAAGGCTGTGACGGCCCTGGATTCAAACAGTCCAGCACAGACGTGTTGTACAGCTCGAACACTGGAGGGGAGATGCAGATTCATTCCTCTTGAGTGTGAAACCATTTTCAGACAGCTACACCACTAGCCAGCTCCACCATCTAAATGACCACAACGAGAAACCCTGTTTAAAAAGGAAGCTTTGATATTCCAATGGTGCATCCAGCCTTTGTGTGTGAAGCCGCACAGGGGAAGAACAACATCTGCGATCGCTAACCATGGACCTAAGCTAGAGCATGGTTTTGAAGCTGCCCAACAGGTTTTGGGGTGGAGGAAAACTTCTGAGAACCACCCCACTAGCTCACATGCCAGCTTACAGTGTCTGTGCACAGACTGGAAACTGGGGAATAGCAGTTACAGGCCCAAGAGGTCTCCCCTTGAAACTGACATACATGCCCGGCTTTGGTTGTTTTCTTGGCCCAGATTTTTAAAGCTGTTTACATGTTGCTGCACTTAGTGTTGCAGCACCTGACTGGTTTGGAAGCTCAAGTCTCTTTTTTTTTAAAAAAAGTGATTGAATGGGAATTAGGCTCATAAATGCCTAAATCCTTTTGGAAACTGAGACTCGTGCTTCTCACTCAATAGGCACTGCAGTGCTGAGCACAGCGATACCTAAATAACTTTGAGAATCCGGGCCCTCCTCCAGGGTGAGTGCAGCACAGTTTGGGCGGCATGATGCCTGCGGGAGATTCCTTGTCCTCCGGGACAGCTTGCTGCCCGGCTGTCTCTTCTCTCCCCAAGCACACCGGACTGTGGTGAAAAGGAGGCCTGAGGAACTCAGTTTCCAAAACAAGAATTAGCTCAAATTCACGGCTTAAAAAGTGGCAGTTTGGTTTACAGGTGTATTTTTTTTTCAGTCCCATCCCTTTTGATTTCTGGGATCCCAGGCCTGTGTTGCTACAATATTAAACTCACCAAAGACCCATGAATATGCTGAGGGAAAGATTTTCGAAGGCACAAAGGACAGTCGGAGCGTTAGGCATCTCGCTGCCATGTGACCCTCTGAAAACCGTTCCTAAAAAGCAACATGGGCTGAAACCCTTGCGTGATGCTTTAAAACTTGCTGTGGCCGGTTAATCTCACTAACCATAGCATTCTGTGCACCTGTGGGTGAGAGCATGGCAGGAGCATTAAAACTAGCCACAATACCAAAGCAGACTTCCCCTCAGATGTGGCCTCAAACACAATGCTTGGAGACGGGACAGTTACTAGCATTGCTGCTGCTACAACTAAAATCGGTTTGTAATCCTCCAAACCTGTCGTACGTCTGTTAATCTATTAAACGTCTGATGCTTTCTTGTTCACAATACTGCCCCTTTCTACATCCCTCCTACGGCTCTGGGCCCATGTTTGTGTGCACAGAGGCTACACCACATCTGCCTGCCATACCTTCAACGCAGACGTCGTTACAGCTGCAAGAGGAACGCCTGGAACTGCACACGCCCGGGCTTTTCATTTGGCGAGCTCTGCCTTTGCATCTGTTGTTTTAAAAGATCTTCCGAGAACTAGCATTAAATATTTCAAAGCAATTGGCCTCCCTTTTGAATGTGCTTTGGAAACAGGTAAGAGTGGTTTCCTCAGGGCTCGGCCTGCGACTGGGGAAACTAAACCTGCATTGGATTCAAGTATCAGAGGGGTAGCCATGTTAGTCTGGATCTGCAAAAGCGATGAGGAGTCCTGTGGCACCTTATAGACTAACAGATGAATTGGAGCAGAAGCTTTTGTGGGCAAAGACCCACTTTGTCAGATGCATCTGACGAAGTGGGTCTTTGGCTCACGAAAGCTTATGCTCCAATTCATCTGTTAGTCTATAAGGTGCCACAGGACTCTGCTGCATTGGATTGGGAGCGTCAGGTTAACAAGAACTCAAGCTAGGCCTGGTGTACGGTACATGCCTGTGATTGTACTATGCTGATCAGTCCCAAAATAAACAGCAATGGAAAATCTCTGGCTGCATTTTAATATCGGATCCTGGAGATTTTGAGAGACAAGGATGAAAGAGTTAAATGTTCTCAGCTTGGCTAAGTGCAGCTGAGGGAAAAGAATCATTATTCCCCAGTAGGGCTTGGTAAAATGTACTTGCTTGAGGACTGAATTTGCTAGCCGAGATGAAAAGCAGTTACGCTGCTATGTTCCCCAAGGCAGGGGTGTCAAAATCTTGCTGGGCGGGGCTGGGGGGAGTGAATTCTCACTTTAATGATGGTCAGTGGGCAATGTAAAAAGACATGGCTGTCCTCAACCCACAACCAATCATCCATGGAGGGCAATGGGGGAGTCTGGCCTATGTCAACGTTTTACTGACACTCATTTATTGCATTCAGTCCCTTTGAGGTATATTCTGCATCAACTGGAAGAAAATTCTGCTTCCCGTTAGGATCCTTGCTATTTTTGTTCTTCTTTTCTCATCCTCCTTTCTCTTTTTCCCCTGGCTTTTATATTGCTCCTTTCTTCCCAGTGATTCCTTCCATGTAGTATCATCCAATTTAGGGTCAGTCCCTACCCTTTTCCACTGCTGATTTAAGCAAAGACATAGTTAATACTGGTGTTTAAAGTCTCATTAATTTGCAGATTTAGCACAACAATGAGATGAACAGTGGGCAGAGAAGGCCTCACCTTTGAGATGGTGAGAAGACTGCAAAAGTAACACAGGGTTTGCAGTTGGAAGATTTTCTTCAGAACCCTGAAAGTACGAAACTTTGTTTAATAATGAAAGGTGAGATTCTGCTGATCCTGAATGTGCCGTGTGGCCCACAAACAAGCAGCCTGTGGCTTGTGTGCTTGATCCCGCTGCACTAAAGCCGCAACCCCGTCAATGTAAAGAAATAAACCAGGTGTGTGCTCATGATGCAGTGTGCACTAAGTGCAGTGTGGTGTTGGTCAGATTCTTCTTTTGTACTTTTTCCATCTTTTCTTTTGGTTTATTTGTATTATGCTTGTACCTGGGAGAACTAGTCTGGGCAAAGGTCTTCTCTGTCTGCCCTATTTTCTCTCTTACCTTTCCCCACTTTAAGCACCATGTTGAAAACCGGAAGCAAAGCCGGATCTCTTCTCCCCTGCCCCCGCTATGCAAACGCCTGTACTTCAGCCTCAGGGTGGAGCCGGCCCGCAATGAGAGCCAGCACTCTAAATCAATACGTCTAAAACCCCACAGCGCAGCCAGCCATCAAGAATGAGACTCGTTTCTCCATAAAGGCCGCAAGGTTCTACCACCCCGCAAACTGTAGCAAGCAGAGGGACTGGAAAGCGGTCCAGGTCTGTTGCTGAACAGTGCTTCTCTCATTCTGTAATTAATTTCTCCCTCCTGCGCCTTTGACCTCCACGGATCATATGCACCAAGGCCAAAATGTTCAAATGCTGGATGCATAACGTTAGGCACTTGCATCCATGTTTCGAATAATTGGCCAGCTGTTCATAGGTGCGGAGCGCCCACGCTGGGATTTGGAGAGTCTGCCAATCTGAGACGAGTAAGGTGTGTGGGGAAGAAGTTCCTTCTTCCTTCATGAAGCTCCAATGAAGAGGCAGTCTGAGCTTTGGATAACCGTTCCAGCTGACTCTTTGTCCAAATGGCTCTGCTCATCTCCACTGGCTGAATTTGGTGTGATACTTGGTGTGCTCGTTTTCAGTCCAATGCAACGGGAGTCAGGCACATCCACCCCTTGGAGAATCGCAGCCCTTGCTCTGTTGCCCAGCGGTGCTGACCTCTGAGCTCTGTGCACAAACTGAAAGCCTTTGTCCAGAACCGGCTATAAGGCAAGTTACCAACCAACATGCGGAAAGACTCGCACAGATAAGGTAGTGGAGGCTCTGATGTGTGGCTCTAAACTGGTTGCACTGACTACCGAGAGAAGAGCCCAAGTGTTAGCACAGTTTCTAACATCCTAGTTGCATATGCTAACATCCTTTAATTCCTAATCTAGACAAGGCCAGAGCGACGGAGGCTTGGGGGTATACCATGATTTATACAGTATTTTAGAGTCCTAATAATTGAGCAAACCACATCCTAAAGCCCCCGCATGGTAGGGAACAGGGATAACGTGAGATGTGAAAAGCCAAGACCTCCCACTATACTATAGGAATTCCTTTTTAATGTTCATTCTTCTGTTCAAAATGCTCAAATTCAGTCTCTCCCTGGAGGCTTTTACTATGAAACACAGAGCACAATTAGTTTTAATAGTATGGAAAATATCTCCTCATGATGCACACATTGTCACAAAAGAAATTGCATAGTATTTAAGGAGGAAACATTCACACGCAGACCACCTGCCTTGCGCATGTAGTGTTCACCCAGTGGGATTGCTTTAGACTAGGCTAGCGGCTAGATTCCCTGCAATGCCTCTGGGAGACGGAACCACACTGGCCCGACAAGCAAACTGGGGAAGGACACTGGCTCACTGAAGGCAGGGCAGCAAATGTGTATATATAGTTAGGCGGGGAGACATCTATTCTCTGAGTCCCTGAATGACACGGGCAAAACTAGTTTTCACATGGGGGTGGGGGGATTTACACTAGGGAGCAGAGGCCACACTGATGGTGGCAGATTGTAATGTGCCACCCTTTTCCTACCTTCTAGGACAGAGGTTCTCAACTGGGGGTGGTGGTGGACTTTCTTGGGGGTGTATGATGAGCCTTCTGATGCTAAGAAGAAGTGGGGCTGGGGGGCAAAGCACCAGGTTGCAACCCCGTTCACTCGGATTTGCGTCAATGGGGTTACAACCTGGCGCACGGAGTGGCAGCGTCGCTCAGATTTGCCCTGGCCGTCCTATAGCCAGTACACACACAATATAAATGATCAGTACAAACTTTGTATTCCAGGCCAGTGATCTACAGCATGTGGTCCAAGCCAGAGTCCGATTAGAAACCTGGCAGGAGGCTGAATGCAGCGCGTACATTGTGTGCAAGCAGGTAAGCCACTTCTGTTAAAGGCCTGTGTAAGTTCTGTTGTCTTCTGTGGGGTACAACTCAAAATGACAGCCGTGAATTTCCTGTTCCTGCCAATGACGTCGGATGGAACAAAGCAAAAACTCTCAAAAGCTTGATCGTGGTCTACAAGCACCTATGGGGGGGAAGAGATTTTTGATAAGAGGGCTCTTTATTCTAGCTGACAAAGGCGTACTGAGATCCCATGGCTAGAAATCGAGGCTAGACAAGCTGACGCTGGAAATAAGATGCCAGTTAGAACAATGAAGCTGATTAAACAATGGGACAACTTACTTAGGGATGTGGTGGATTCGTCATCATGTGAAGCCTTTCAATCAAGATCATTGGCCTATTTTAAAGAGATGTTCTAGCCCAAATAGAAGTTATGGGCATGATGCTGAAATTACTGGGGAAACTCAAAGAGGTCCATTCAGGCCTATGGAAGTGTAGTGAGCAGGGGTGGCCGCTCACTGACCCTGAGGGGGAAGAACCACTCTCTGAGCCGGGTCCTGCCCCTTTTAACACCACAGAGGCCAAGGGGTGGGGCAGGGAGCATAAAAGCCCAGCCCAGGAGCTCAGGAAGGCCCCAGCTGCCAGAGGAAACAGAGGCCTGCACTGAGCTCCCAAGCCAGGAGGCCCTGA